ATATATGTATATATATATGTATAATTTTTAACTTAATTTAATTTTTAACTTTTAATTTTTTATATACATTTTTCAGTTTTAAATATCTTTATATGGTTAAATTTGACATTTAAAAAGTTGATAAAACTATTTTTAGTTTTAAAATAGATCTTTGCTTTACTTTAAATCTATATGTATACATGTTTTTAACTTTGGCTAAACTTTTCTGGTGTTTCTCAGACATTTAAATTAGCAATAATAAAAACAGAATTGTCTATTAATTTAATAATTCAACTTGAGACTGTTTTAAGCAATAAAGTGCACTTCATTATTTCCTAAATCTTCTATATAAAGATGTCAAAATAATAATACAAACAGCTGCAGATAAAAGCTGAATATTGTTTTATTCTGTGAAAATATGGTCACACATGAAGGTTTTGAGCTCTGAAGGCAACATATTCAAATTAGATTTTTTTATGTGTAATGTTGACATTTGATCATTAATTAATTTATTTCTGTTCAAGCATATTCTATCAATAGTTTGACCTGGGTTTAAATTGCATCTGCAGGTTTTTGAACATGCCTCTTACAGTAGATTTAGAATCTCTGCCTGTTTTAGTTTCATATAAACTCTTTTCTTGCAGCCATTTACCGTTAAACTCCCGGAGTGTGTTTTTGATAATACACTTCTGAACGTTTCCCCATGCACAACACTCGAGTTTAAACAGAGTGACATAAGCACTGACCCGTTGCCCAGGTTAAGAGTAATCCACAGTTAATTGGCACCTAGCTGAGGTCACGGGGTCGCCTATAAAGCCCACTGGCACATATGTTGTCAAACAGCGTCTCATTACTGTCAAAGGTCTCGGCTTAAAAGTCAAAAGAGCAGCAAGAAAAGTTCTGATTGGATACGTGATGAGGCGTTTATTTTACTGTGTTCTTACTGGCTTCAGATGTAAACATCTTAATCATGGACGTTCTGAAAAATACTGGAAACATACTGGAAGATGGGATGGACCCCTGGAAGGTCTCATGGGGAACAATTTACCGCACATTTATTTTTGTTCATGTTTTTTATTTATTTATTTAATAAATCTGACTTTTCCTGTTATTTTTTTATTAATATTTGTTTACTTTTTTCTGACAAAGTAAAAATCTTTCTCAACTTTTTTGATTTTGTCTGATTTTTTTAATGCTCGCATAACCTCAGTAACTTTACTACACTCTGGTGTTCCTCTGGGCAACTCGCTTTACTTCCCTTGTTAAAAAGGCAAAGTCCCAGTTTTATGTTGATAAAACTACCGTACTTTCCGCCTTAAAAGTTGCACCGCCATTTAAGTCGCATCAGTCCAATTATGTCCAATAAAGTGGAAAAAACATGTTGCTTCACCGTATAAGTCACGTCTATTATGCGTCACCGTTGACCACCTGGAAACACGGGCCGTTGTTGTGCCAAAAATCGATTGGCTGCCAAATTTCGGCCACGGGAGCGTGCACGGGAGGACTTTAACAAGAATTTAACAAGATTAACACATAAAAACAATTATTTGTTTGCTTGACATTATAGAAAAGTTGTGTCTCAGCTGAACTTTTCCTTAATAAATGCACTTTAATGGTCAAATCAGCTGCATTTCTCCTGGGCGGTGCAGAGAAATGAAGCTCCAGTAGTTCCAGAGCGAGACGAAGGTGGCTCTGTATGGCAAGCCAAGTGTCTCATTAATGGCCACCTTCACCTATTGATGAGACACTTGGCTTGCCATATTACTCGAGCGCCCTCTAGTGGCTGAAAATGGTATTGTTCAATATTTTCCGTATCAGAATGAAATCATCAGATCTCAGCCAAAAATTGGGTTATAAATATGGGAAAAAATGTACAGTATATTAGTACTTCAGAGTATAAGTCGCAGGACTTGCTAATTTATGCAAAAAGATGCGACTTATAGTCCGAAAAGTACGGTACTGAGAATTTAAATGATCCCAATAAATTTTGGAGATTGATTAAATCATCATTCAGAGATGAAATATCTAATTAATTACCTACTTATATTGTCAATGATGCACAAAACATAAGTGACAAAGTAGCTATTCTCAACTGTTTTAATGAACATTTCATTTCCTCTGGGTCCTTGCTTGCATCATTGCTTCCACAGAGGCTAAATCTGCAAGAAGATTTCAAGCACACATGAATGATTCTGTTCAAGGATTTAGTTTTTCCCCTTTTGACGTAACTGAAGTTCATAAAACTTTACAACAATTAGATCCTTGTAAATCTGCTGCACCTGACAGACTCAAGCCTTTTTTAGGGCATCTGTAGACTTTATAGTAGAACCTCCATGTTGTTCAACTTGTTTGTTGTTCAGCTGTTCATGGGGCTGAAATTGAAGTTGTCAGGTGCTACAAATATTTAGGTATTCTGACTGATGAGAATCTATCCTTTAAATCTCATATTGATAAACTGGTTCCTAAACTAAAATTTAAATTGGAGTTCTTTTTTTGAAACAAAAGTGTTTCTCACACCAAGTCAGAAGGCGCCTGATTGTTTCAACCATCCTGCCCCTGGTGGATTATGGAGATCAGCTATTTATGAACTCTTCAGCCCAGCTTTAGAACAAACTGGATGCTGTGTATCATTGTACCCTGCGTTTTATGACTGACTGTGTCTATCGAACACATCACTGCACTTTGTATGCTACAGCAAAATGTCCCTCTTTGACTGACCGCAGACTTTCTCACTTGCTGGTTTTTATCTATAAATGCATCCTTGGACATCTTCCTACATATTTATGTTCACTTTTATCTCAAACTTTCAGCCATTATAGTCTGCGCTCTCAGGACATCATTTTGATGCAGGTCCCAAGGGTCAGAACTGAACTGGGTAAAAAAAAAAGTTAATTCTTTTGCCCCTGCTACTTGGAATATTCTGCAGAAGGATTTAAAGTTATCATCTCTTGTTACCTCAGGACAATTTAAATCAGTTCTAAAGGAATGAAAGATCACATCACTTGTCTCCTATAACTGCCCTAATGTGTAATTATGTGATTTCTCTTGGGTATGTCTTTTGTGTGTTTGATCTTGTATTTTGGATTTGTTTAGTGTTTATGCTGCTGTCTTGGCCAGGTCACTTTTGAAAAGTTTTTAATCTCATCGAGTTATTTTCCGGGTTAAATAAAGGATACATACTTGCATACAACAAATGATCTTAAGGAAAATTAATTAAATTAATGTTTTGATCTCATAATTATTATATAATAAAATAATTAATTTCTCTAATAGTTTTTTCTTTTTACTTCTAGCCCTATACTTTCATTTTTCTAATATTAGCTCACTGGATGGTGCTCTGCTTTTAAATGCTTTTACATTTGAGAGCCTCTATAACAATTTACAGAGAGGGTGTTTCACTTAATCCTGAAATGGTAAATGGTAAATGGTAAATGGACTGTGCTTATGTTGTGTCTTTCTATCTTTTTTTAAAGAAAGAGGTGTGTCTGTCTCTGTTGGCCGTTCCTGTGGAGTTCCGCTTCTCACCTCG